CTCCTGCGTCCTCTCTTCCTGACGTTGCTGACCCGCCGTCAGACCTTGCTCGTGCTGCCAGTCCTACTATCACGCGTCTTCTCGCTACTGTTGTCACTGACCCTTCCTTCGAGTCCACTGCTGCGTCTGCTCTAGTTGCTGAGCTTGTTGACTTTGCTGCCGCCTATCGTCTAGACTACGCCGCTAGCCTTGTTGCTGAGTCTGAGTCTGTCTGTCCTCCGTCCGTCGGGGGTGAGTGTGCTCTTGGCACGGACGTCCTTGAGGACAGACAGGAGGAGTTTGAGTGCTTTGCCGCTGCTTTACCTCATCTCGTGTCCATGCTGATTGCCCCTGAGGGAGATCCGGATGCACCAGACATCCCGACCCCGCGCTCTTACGCAGAGGCGATAGAGGGTCCCTACTCCTCTCAGTGGCAGACAGCCATGGACGCAGAGATGGCTTCCTGGAAGTCCACAAGCACCTACGTCGATGAGGTTCCCCCACCTGGGGCGAACATCGTCAGTGGCATGTGGATTTTCAGGGTGAAGCGGCCGCCGGGTTCTCCGCCTGTCTTCAAGGCGCGTTACGTTGCACGAGGCTTCAGTCAGCGAGAGAGAGTTGACTTCTTCCAGACCTTCTCCCCGACCCCGAAGATGACCACTCTTCGGGTTCTGCTGCACGTCGCCGCTCAGCGTGACTACGAGCTCCACTCTCTTGACTTCAGCACTGCTTTCCTACAGGGCAGCCTGCACGAGGAGATCTGGCTGCGCCGCCCACCTGGCTTCACTGGGTCGTTCCCTGCTGGTACCCAGTGGAGCCTCCGGCGGCCAGTCTACGGTCTCCGCCAGGCACCCCATGAGTGGCACGACACACTGAGGACTACTCTTGCTGCTCTTGGGTTTGCTACTTCTACTGCTGACCTGTCGCTGTTTCTACGCACCGACACCACTCTGCCGCCGTTCTACGTTCTCGTGTACGTAGACGACTTGGTCTTTGCTACTGCTGACACTGAGGCACTCGCCCACGTGAAGTTGGAGCTGCAGAAGAGACACACGTGCACAGACCTGGGTGAGCTGACAAGCTATCTTGGCTTGCGGATCACCCGGGAAAGAGCACAGCGCACCATCACCTTGACTCAGTCACACATGGTGTAGCAGGTCCTTCAGCGCTTCGGCTTCACGTACTCCTCCCCACAGCACACTCCTCTGCCTACTGGTCACTCGCTCTCAGCTCTGCCTTCGGATGAGTCCGTAGAGCCGAGTGGCCCGTATCCAGAGGTTGTGGGCTGCCTCATGTACCTGATGACCTGCACTCGACCTGACCTTGCATACCCTCTTAGCATCCTAGCAAGCTATGTCGCTCCTGGCCGTCACCGGAAGGAGCACATGGATGCCGCTAAGAGGGTGTTGCACTACTTGTGCAGTACGTCGGGCATGGGGCTTGTGCTTGGAGGACGGAGTGACGTTGTTCTCACTGGGCACTCAGACGCTTCTTGGGCTGACGACGAGGCTACGCAGCGGTCGTCTCAGGGTTACACCTTCAGCCTTGGCTCTGGTTCAGTTTCTTGGCGTTCTACACGCTCGTCTTCAGTTCTCAGCTCTAGTTGTGAGGATGAGATCTACGCCACAGCCATGGCTGCACAGGAGTTACGCTGGCTCACCTACCTGCTGACCAAACCTGGGAGAGCGGCCTTGTTCTCCTCCAGTGCTGTACGTCGACAACAAGGCCGCCATTGCCTTGTGTCAGGAGCACAGACTGGAGCACAGAACGAAGCACATCGCTCTGCGCTACTTCCTTGCTCGAGAGCTGCAGCAGCGTGGTCAGCTTCGTCTTGCTTACGTGGCCACTCGGGCCAACACTGCTGATGTGTTTACCAAGGCGCTTCAGCCTTGTGACCATCAGCGTTTCTGTACTGTTCTAGGCCTTGTGCCTAGTGTGCCTCACTTGCTTACTTCTTGACTCTGCTTGTACTGTGATCTCTATATGTATATATATACCTGCATGCTTACACTTGCTAGGTTGTGATCACTGTACCTCTTGTTACATTATCAAACTGCATGTGAACTGGTCTTGTGACCGATTGCTTGTGCTCGGAATTTGTGTGGTTTCCTTGAGATCCACCCTGAGCTTGCTTTGCTTTGCTTTGACTGGTCTTGTGACCATCTGGTTGTCTCCCACTTAGCCTATGGGGGTGTGTCAAACATTATACATGTTCCTATTGTGTAGGCTATAGTGGGTTTAGCCTTAGGGGGTACAACATTGCTAGGGTTTCCTACTTGTATCACCCTGCTGCCTAGTTTCACACATTCTCGTTCACTTCTAGATTATAACAGCACGAGCAATGCAACTTAGTGCGCAAGCAATGCAGCAGAGCGCGCGAGCAACACCGCAGGGGCGTGAGCAACGCGGCAGAGGGGCGAGCAACGCAGCAGAGCACGCGAACAATGCAGCAGAGTGCGCGAGCAACGCAGCTGAGCGCGCGAGCAATGCAGTAGAGGGCGCGAGCAACGCACCAGAGGGCGCGAGCAACGCAGCGGACGGCGCGAGCAACGCAGCTGAGCGTGCGAGCAATGCAGCTAAGGGCACGTGCAACGCAGCAGAGGGCGCGAGCATCGCAGCAGAGGGTGCGAGCAACGCAGCAAAGGGCGAGAGCAACGCAGCAGAGGGTGCGAGCAACGCAGTAGAGGGTGTGAGCAACGCAGCAGAGGGCGCGAGCAACGAAGCTAAGCACGCATGCAAAGCAGTAGAGGGTGCGAGCAACGCAGCTGAGAGCGCAAGCAATGCAGCTGAGCGTGCGAGCAACACCGCAGAGGTGTGAGCAATGCAGCAAAGGCGCGAGCAACGCAGCAGAGCTTACGAACAATGCAGCAGAGTGCGCGAGCAACGCAGCTGAGTGCGCGGGCTAAGCAGCAGAGCGCGCGAGCAACGTAGCAGAGGGCGCGAGCAACGCATCAGAGGGCGCGATCAACGCAGCAGAGGGTGCGAGCAACGCAGCCGAGCGCGCGAGCAACGCACAAGAGGGCGCGAGCAACGCAGCAGAGACGCAAGAAACGCAGCAGAGTGCGCAAAAAACACAGCAGAGCGTGCGAGCAACGCAGCTGAGCGTGCGAGCGTAGCTGAGCGCACGAGCAACTCAGCAGAGGGCGCGAGCAACGCAGCAGAGGGCGTGAGCAACACAGCAGAGCGCGCAAACAACGCAGCTTAGCGCGCGAGCAACGCAGCAGTGGGCGCGAGCAACGCGGCTGAGCGCGCGAGCAATGCAGTAGAGGGCGTGAGCAACGCAACAGAGGCGCCAGCAATGCAGCAGAGGAGCGAGCAACGCAGCAGAGGGCGTGAGCAACGGAGCTAACCACGCTTGCAACGCAGTAGAGGGCGCGAGCAATGCATCTTAGCGCGCAAGCACTGCAGCAAAGCGCGAGCAACACCGCAGGGGCGCGAGCAACGCAGTAGAGGCGCGAGCAACGCTGCAGCGCACGCGAACAATGCTGCTGAGGCGCGAGCAACGCAACAGAGTGCACGAGCAACGCAGCTGAGCGCGCGAGCAACGCAGAAGAGGGCGCGAGCAACGCAACAGAGGGCACGAGCATCGCAACAGAGGGTGCGAGCAACGCAGCAGAGGGCGCGAGCAACGCAGCAGAGGGCGCGAGCAACGCAGCAGAGGGCGCGAGCAACGCAGCAGAGGGCGTGAGCAACGTAGATGAGCGCGCGAGCAACGCAGCAGAGGGTGCGAGCAACGCAGCTGAGTGCGCGAGCAACACAGCAGAGACGGGAGCAACGCAGCAGAGCACGCGAGCAACGCAGCAGAGCGCGCGAGCAACTCAGGAAAGCGCGCGAGCAACGCAGTAGAGGGCGCGAGCAACGCAGCAGAGTGCGCGAGCATCGTAGCAGAGGGCGCAAGCAACGCAGCTGAGCACCCGAGCAACACAGTAGAGACGCGAGCAGCGCAGCAGAGCGCGCGAACTACGCAGCAGAGCGCGCGAGCAATGCAGCAAAGGGCGCGAGCATTGCAGCAGAGGGTGCGAGCAACGCAGCAGAGGGCGCGAGCAACGCAGCCGAGCGCGCGAGCAACGCAGCAGAGGGCGCGTACAACGCAGCAGAAACGCGAGCAACGCAGTAGAGCACGCGAACAACGCAGCAGAGCGAGCGAGCAACGCAGCTGAGCGTGCGAGCGTAGCTTAGCTCGCGAGCAACGCACCAGAGGGCGCGAGCAACGCACCAGAGGGCGCGAGCAACGCAGCAGAGGGCGCAAGCAACGCAGCAGAGGGCGCGAGCAACACAGCTGAGCACGCGAGCATCGCAGCAGAGACGCGAGCAACGCAGCAGAGTGCGCGAGCAGAGGGCGCGAGCAACGGAGCTAAGCACGCTTGCAACACAATAGAGGGCGCGAGCAACACATCCTAGTGCACAAGCAATGCAGCAGAGCGCGCGAGCAACACCGCAGGGGCGCAAGCAACGCAGCAGAGGCGTGAGCAACGCTGCAGCGCACGCGAACAATGCAGCAGAGTGCGCGAGCAACGCAGCTGAGCACGCAATAAACGCAGTAGAGGGCGCGAGCAACGCACCAGAGGGCGCGAGCAACGCAGCAGAGGGCGCGAGCATCGCAGCTGAGCGTGCGAGCAAACGTCGCCCGCTCGCGCGCACCTTCTCCGGACCCGCGCGAGCCCCGCAAACGTCTCCCCCCCGAAACGTCGCCCGCTCGCGCGCACCTTCTCCGGGGACCCGCGCCCCGCGCAAACGTCTCCCCCCGAAACGTCGCCCGCTCGGGCGCACCTTCTCCGGGGACCCGCGCCCCGCGCAAACGTCTCCCCCGAAACGTCGCCCGCTCGCGCGCACCTTCTCCGGGGACCCGCGCCCCCCGCAAACGTCTCCCCCCGAAACGTCGCCCGCTCGCGCGCACCTTCTCCGAGGACCCGCGCCCCCTGCAAACGTCTCCCCCCGAAACGTCGCCCGCTCGCGCTCACCTTCTCCGGGGACCCTCGCCCCCCGCAAACGTCTCCCCCCGAAACGTCCCCCGCCCGCGCTCACCTTCTCCGGGGACCCGCGCCCCCCGCAAACGTCTCCCCCCGAAACGTCCCCCGCTCGCGCGCACCTTCTCCGGGGACCCGCGCCCCGCGCAAACGTCTCCCCCCGAAACGTCGCCCGCTCGCGCGCACCTTCTCCGGGGACCCGCGCCCCGCGCAAACGTCTCCCCCCGAAACGTCGCCCGCTCGCGCGCACCTTCTCCGGGGACCCGCGCCCCCCGCAAACGTCTCCCCCCGAAACGTCGCCCGCTCGCGCGCACCTCTCCGGGGACCCGCGCCCTTCGCAAACGTCTCCCCCCGAAACGTCGCCCGCTCGCGCGCACCTTCTCCGGGGACCCGCGCCCCCCGCAAACGTCTCCCCCCGAAACGTCGCCCGCTCGCGCGCACCTTCTCCGGACCCCCGCGCCCCCTGCAAACGTCTCCCCCCGAAACGTCGCCCGCTCGCGCGCACCTTCTCCGGACCCCCGCGCCCCCCGCAAACGCCTCCCCCCGAAACCTCGCCCGCTCGCGCGCACCTTCTACGGACCCCCGCGCCCCCCGCAAACGTCTCCCCCTGAAACCTCGCCCGCTCGCGCGCAACTTCTCCGGACCCCCGCGCCCCCCGCAAACGTCTCCCCCCGAAACGTCGCCCGCTCGCGCGCACCTTTTCCGCACCCCCGCGCCCCCCGCAAACGTCTCCCCCCGAAATGTCTCCTCCTCGCGCGCACCTTCTCTGGACCCACGCGAGACCCGCAAGCGTCTCCCCCCGAAACGTCGCCCGTTCTCGCGCACCTTCTCCGGGGACCCGCCCCCCCCCGCAAACGTCTCCCCCCGAAACGTCGCCCGCTCGCGCGCACCTTGTCCGAGGACCCGCGCCCCCCGCAAACGTCTCCCCCCGAAACGTCGCCCGCTCGCGCGCACCTTCTCCGGACCCCCGCGCCCCCCGCAAACGTCTCCCCCTGAACGTCGCCCGCTCGCGCGCACCTTCTCCGGGGACCCGCGCCTCCCACAAACGTCTCCCCCCGAAACGTCGCCCGCTCGCGCGCACCTTCTCCGGGGACCCGCGCCCCCCGCAAACGTCTCCCCCGGAAACGTCGCCCGCTCGCGCGCACCTTGTCCTGGGACCCGCGCCCCCCGCAAACGTCTCCCCCCGAAACGTAGCCCGCTCGCGCGCACCTTCTCCGAGGAGCCGCGCCCCCCGCAACATCTCCCCCCGAAACGTCGCCCGCTCGCGCGCACCTTCTCTGGGGACCCTCGCCCCTTGCAAACGTCTCCCCCCGAAACGTCGCCCGCTCGCGCGCACCTTCTCCGGACCCCCGCGCCCCCCGCAAACGTCTCCCCCCGAAACGTCGCCCGCTCGCGCGCACCTTGTCCTGGGACCCGCGCCCCCCGCAAACGTCTCCCCCCGAAACGTAGCCCGCTCGCGCGCACTTTCTCCGAGGAGCCGCGCCCCCCGCAACATCTCCCCCCGAAACGTCGCCTGCTCGCGCGCACCTTCTCCAGGGACCCGCGCCCCCCGCAAACGTCTCCCCCTGAAACGTCGCCCGCTCGCGCGCACCTTCTCCGGGGACCCGCGCCCCCCGCAAACGTCTCCCCCCGAAACGTCGCCCGCTCGCGCGCACCTTCTCCGGGGACCCGCGCCCCCCGCAAACGTCTCCCCCCGAAACGTCGCCCGCTCGCGCGCACCTTCTCCGGGGACCCGCGCCCCCCGCAAACGTCTCCCCCCGAAACGTCGCCCGCTCGCGCGCACCTTCTCCGGGGACCCTCGCAACCCCCGCAAACGTCTCCCCCCAAAACGTCGCCCGCCCGCGCGCACCTTCTCCGGACCCCCACGCCCCCCGCAAACGTCTCCCCCCGAAACGTCGCCCGCTCGCGCGCACCTTCTCCGGGGACCCGCGCCCCCCGCAAACGTCTCCCCCCGAAACGTCGTCCGCTCGTGCGCACCTTCTCCGGGGACCCGCGCCCCCCGCAAACGTCTCCCCCCGAAACGTCGCCCGCTCGCGCGCACCTTCTCCGGGGACCCGCGCCCCCCGTAAACGTCTCCCCCCGAACGTCGCCCGCTCGCGCGCACCTTTTCCGGGGACCCGCGCCCCCCGCAAACGTCTCCCCCCGAAACGTCGCCCGCTCGCGCGCACCTTCTCCGGGGACCCGCCCCCCCCGCAAACGTCTCCCCACGAAACGTCGCCCGCTCGCGCGCACTTTCTCCGGGGACCCTCGCCCCCCGCAAATGTCTCCCCCCGAAACGTCGCCCGCTCGCGCGCACCTTCTCCGGAGACCCGCGCCCCCCGCAAACGTCTCCCCCTGAAACGTCGCCCGCTCGCGCGCACCTTTTCTGGGGACCCGCGCCCCCCGCAAACGTCTCCCCCCGAAACGTCACCCGCTCGCGCGCACCTTCTCCGGACCCCCGCGGCCCCCACAAACGTCTCCCCTTGAAACGTCGCCCGCTCGCGCGCACCTTCTCCGGGGACCCGCGCCCCCCGCAAACGTCTCCCCCCGAAACGTCGCCCGCTCGCGCACACCTTCTCCGGGGACCCGCCCCCCCCGCAAACGTCTCCCCCCGAAACGTCGCCCGCTCGCGCGCACCTTCTCCGGACCCCCGCGCCCCCCGCAAACGTCTCCCCCCGAAACGTCGTCCGCTCGCGCGCACCTTCTCCGCGGACCCGCGCCCCCCGCAAACGTCTCCCCCCGAAACGTCGCCCGCTCGCGCGCACCTTCTCCGGGGACCCGCGCCCCCCGCAAACGTCTCCCCCCGAAACGTCGCCCGCTCGCGCGCACCTTCTCCGGGGACCCGCGCCCCCCGCAAACGTCTCCCCCCGAAACGTCGCCCGCTCGCGCGCACCTTCTCCGGACCCCCGCGCCCCCCGCAAACGTCTCCCCCCGAAACGTCGCCCGCTCGCGCGCACCTTCTCCGGACCCCCGCGCCCCCCGCAAACGTCTCCCCCCGAAACGTCTCCCGCTCGCGCGCATCTTCTCCGGACACGCGCGAGCCCCGCAAACGTCTCCCCCCGAAACGTCGCCCGCTCGCGCGCACCTTTCTCGGACACGCGCGAGCCCCGCAAACGTCTCCCCCCGAAACGTCTCCCGCTCGCGCGCATCTTCTCCGGACCCCCACGCCCCCCGCAAACGTCTCCCCCCGAAACGTCACCCGCTCGCGCGCACCTTTTCCGGACCCCCGCGCCCCCCGCAAACGTCTCCCCCCGAAACGTCGCCCGCTCGCGCGCACCTTTTCCGGACCCCCGCGCCCCCCGCAAACGTCTCCCCCCGAAACGTCGCCCGCTCGCGCGCACCTTTTCCGGACCCCCGCGCCCCCCGCAAACGTCTCCCCCCGAAACGTCGCCCGCTCGCGCGCACCTTTTCCGGACCCCCGCGAGCCCCGCAAACGTCTCCCCCCGAAACGTCGCCCGCTCGCGCGCACCTGCTCCGGGGAACCGCGCCCCCCGCAAACGTCTCCCCCCGAAACGTCGCCCGCTCGCGCGCACCTTCTCCGGGGACCCGCGCCCCCTGCAAACGTCTCCCCCCGAAACGCCGCCCGCTCGCGCGCACCTTCTCCGGGGACCCGCGCCCCTCGCAAACGTCTCCCCCCGAAACGTCGCCCGCTCGCGCGCACCTTCTCCGGGGACCCTCGCCCCCCGCAAACGTCTCCCCCCGAAACGTCGTCCGCTCGTGTGCACCTTCTCCGGGGACCCGCGCCCCCCCGCAAACGTCTCCCCCCGAAACGTCGCCCGCTCGCGCGCACCTTCTCCGGGGACCCGCGCCCCCCGCAAACGTCTCCCCCCGAAATGTCGCCCGCTCGCGCGCACCTTCTCCGGGGACCCGCGCCCCCCGCAAACGTCTCCCCCCGAAACGTCGCCCGCTCGCGCGCACTCTCTCCGGGGACCCGCGCCCCCCGCAAACGTCTCCCCCCGAAACGTCGCCCGCTCGCGCGCACCTTCTCCGGGGACCCTCGCCCCCCGCAAACGTCTCCCCCCGAAACGTCGTCCGCTCGTGCGCACCTTCTCCGGGGACCCGCGCCCCCCGCAAACGTCTCCCCCCGAAACGTCGCCCGCTCGCGCGCACCTTCTCCGGGGACCCGCGCCCCCCGCAAACGTCTCCCCCCGAAACGTCGCCCGCTCGCGCGCACCTTCTCCGGGGACCCGCGCCCCCCGCAAACGTCTCCCCCCGAAACGTCGCCCGCTCGCGCGCACCTTCTCCGGGGACCCGCGCCCCCCGCAAACGTCTCCCCCCGAAACGTCGCCCGCCTGCGCGCACCTTCTCCGGGGACCCGCGCCCCCCGCAAACGTCTCCCCCCGAAACGCCGCCCGCTCGCGCGCACCTTCTCCGGGGACCCGCGCCCCTCGCAAACGTCTCCCCCTGAAACGTCGCCCGCTCGCGCGCACCTTCTCCGGGGACCCTCGCCCCCCGCAAACGTCTCCCCCCGAAACGTCGCCCGCTCGTGCGCACCTTCTCCGGACCCCCGCGCCCCCCGCAAACGTCTCCCCCCGAAACGTCGTCCGCTCGTGCGCACCTTCTCCGGGGACCCGCGCCCCCCGCAAACGTCTCCCCCCGAAACGTCGCCCGCTCGCGCGCACCTTTTCTGGGGACCCTCGCCCCCCGCAAACGTCTCCCCCCGAAACGTCGCCCGCTCGCGCGCACCTTCTCCGGGGACCCGCGCCCCCCGCAAACGTCTCCCCCCGAAACGTCGCCCGCTCGCGCGCACCTTCTCCGGGGACCCGCCCCCCCCCCGCAAACGTCTCCCCCCGAAACGTCGCCCGCTCGCGCGCACCTTCTCCGGGGACCCGCCCCCCCCGCAAACGTCTCCCCCCGAAACGTCGCCCGCTCGCGCGCACCTTTTCCGCACCCCCGCGCCCCCCGCAAACGTCTCCCCCCGAAATGTCTCCACCTCGCGCGCACCTTCTCTGGACCCACGCGAGACCCGCAAGCGTCTCCCCCCGAAACGTCGCCCGCTCTCGCGCACCTTCTCCGGGGACCCGCCCCCCCCCGCAAACGTCTCCCCCCGAAACGTCGCCCGCTCGCGCGCACCTTGTCCGGGGACCCGCGCCCCCCGCAAACGTCTCCCCCCGAAACGTCGCCCGCTCGCGCGCACCTTCTCCGGACCCCCGCGCCCCCCGCAAACGTCTCCCCCTGAACGTCGCCCGCTCGCGCGCACCTTCTCCGGGGACCCACGCCTCCCACAAACGTCTCCCCCCGAAACGTCGCCCGCTCGCGCGCACCTTCTCCGGGGACCCGCGCCCCCCGCAAACGTCTCCCCCGGAAACGTCGCCCGCTCGCGCGCACCTTCTCCTGGGACCCGCGCCCCCCGCAAACGTCTCCCCCCGAAACGTAGCCCGCTCGCGCGCACCTTCTCCGAGGAGCCGCGCCCCCCGCAACATCTCCCCCCGAAACGTCGCCCGCTCGCGCGCACCTTCTCTGGGGACCCTCGCCCCTTGCAAACGTCTCCCCCCGAAACGTCGCCCGCTCGCGCGCACCTTGTCCTGGGACCCGCGCCCCCCGCAAACGTCTCCCCCCGAAACGTAGCCCGCTCGCGCGCACTTTCTCCGAGGAGCCGCGCCCCCCGCAACATCTCCCCCCGAAACGTCGCCCGCTCGCGCGCACCTTCTCCGGGGACCCGCGCCCCCCGTAAACGTCTCCCCCCGAAACGTCGCCCGCTCGCGCGCACCTTCTCCGGGGACCCGCGCCCCCCGCAAACGTCTCCCCCCGAAACGTCGCCCGCTCGCGCGCACCTTCTCCGGGGACCCGCGCCCCCCGCAAACGTCTCCCCCCGAAACGTCGCCCGCTCGCGCGCACCTTCTCCGGGGACCCGCGCCCCCCGCAAACGTCTCCCCCCGAAACGTCGCCCGCTCGCGCGCACCTTCTCCGGGGACCCTCGCAACCCCCGCAAACGTCTCCCCCCAAAACGTCGCCCGCCCGCGCGCACCTTCTCCGGACCCCCGCGCCCCCCGCAAACGTCTCCCCCCGAAACGTCGCCCGCTCGCGCGCACCTTCTCCGGACCCCCGCGCCCCCCGCAAACGTCTCCCCCCGAAACGTCGTCCGCTCGTGCGCACCTTCTCCGCGGACCCGCGCCCCCCGCAAACGTCTCCCCCTGAAACGTCGCCCGCTCGCGCGCACCTTTTCTGGGGACCCTCGCCCCCCGCAAACGTCTCCCCCCGAAACGTCACCCGCTCGCGCGCACCTTCTCCGGACCCCCGCGGCCCCCACAAACGTCTCCCCTTGAAACGTCGCCCGCTCGCGCGCACCTTCTCCGGGGACCCACGCCCCCCGCAAACGTCTCCCCCCGAAACGTCGCCCGCTCGCGCGCACCTTCTCCGGGGACCCGCCCCCCCCGCAAACGTCTCCCCCCGAAACGTCGCCCGCTCGCGCGCACCTTCTCCGGACCCCTGCGCCCCCCGCAAACGTCTCCCCCCGAAACGTCGTCCGCTCGCGCGCACCTTCTCCGCGGACCCGCGCCCCCCGCAAACGTCTCCCCCCGAAACGTCGCCCGCTCGCGCGCACCTTCTCCGGGGACCCGCGCCCCCCGCAAACGTCTCCCCCCGAAACGCCGCCCGCTCGCGCGCACCTTCTCCGGGGAACCGCGCCCCCCGCAAACGTCTCCCCCCGAAACGCCGCCCGCTCGCGCGCACCTTCTCCGGGGACCCGCGCCCCCCGCAAACGTCTACCCCCGAAACGCCGCCCGCTCGCGCGCACCTTCTCCGGGGACCCGCGCCCCCCGCAAACGTCTCCCCCCGAAACGCCGCCCGCTCGCGCGCACCTTCTCCGGGGACCCGCGCCCCTCGCAAACGTCTCCCCCCGAAACGTCGCCCGCTCGCGCGCACCTTCTCCGGGGACCCTCGCCCCCCGCAAACGTCTCCCCCCGAAACGTCGTCCGCTCGTGCGCACCTTCTCCGGGGACCCGCGCCCCCCGCAAACGTCTCCCCCCGAAACGTCGTCCGCTCGCGCGCACCTTCTCCGGGGACCCGCGCCCCCCGCAAACGTCTCCCCCCGAAACGTCGCCCGCTCGCGCGCACCTTCTCCGGGGACCCGCGCCCCCCGCAAACGTCTCCCCCCGAAACGTCGCCCGCTCGCGCGCACCTTCTCCGGGGACCCGCGCCCCCCGCAAACGTCTCCCCCCGAAACGCCGCCCCCTCGCGCGCACCTTCTCCGGGGACCCGCGCCCCCCGCAAACGTCTCCCCCCGAAACGCCGCCCGCTCGCGCGCACCTTCTCCGGGGACCCGCGCCCCCCGCAAACGTCTCCCCCCGAAACGTCGCCCGCTCGCGCGCACCTTCTCCGGGGACCCTCGCCCCCCGCAAACGTCTCCCCCCGAAACGTCGCCCGCTCGTGCGCACCTTCTCCGGACCCCCGCGCCCCCCGCAAACGTCTCCCCCCGAAACGTCGTCCGCTCGTGCGCACCTTCTCCGGGGACCCGCGCCCCCCGCAAACGTCTCCCCCCGAAACGTCGCCCGCTCGCGCGCACCTTTTCTGGGGACCCTCGCCCCCCGCAAACGTCTCCCCCCGAAACGTCGCCCGCTCGCGCGCACCTTCTCCGGGGACCCGCGCCCCCCGCAAACGTCTCCCCCCGAAACGTCGCCCGCTCGCGCGCATCTTCTCCGGACACGCGCGAGCCCCGCAAACGTCTCCCCCCGAAACGTCGCCCGCTCGCGCGCACCTTTCTCGGACACGCGCGAGCCCCGCAAACGTCTCCCCCCGAAACGTCTCCCGCTCGCGTGCATCTTCTCCGGACCCCCGCGCCCCCCGCAAACGTCTCCCCCCGAAACGTCACCCGCTCGCGCGCACCTTTTCCGGACCCCCGCGCCCCCCGCAAACGTCTCCCCCCGAAACGTCGCCCGCTCGCGCGCACCTTTTCCGGACCCCCGCGCCCCCCGCAAACGTCTCCCCCCGAAACGTCGCCCGCTCGCGCGCACCTTTTCCGGACCCCCGCGCCCCCCGCAAACGTCTCCCCCCGAAACGTCGCCCGCTCGCGCGCACCTTTTCCGGACCCCCGCGCCCCCCGCAAACGTCTCCCCCCGAAACGTCGCCCGCTCGCGCGCACCTTTTCCGGACCCCCGCGAGCCCCGCAAACGTCTCCCCCCGAAACGTCGCCCGCTTGCGCGCACCTTTTCCGGACCCGCGCGAGCCCCGCAAACGTCTCCCCCCGAAACGTCGCCCGCTCGCGCGCACCTTCTCCGGACCCGCGCGAGCCCCGCAAACGTCTCCCCCCGAAACGTCGCCCGCTCGCGCGCACCTTCTACAACGTCGCCCGCTCGCGCGCACCTTCTACAGGGACCCGCGCCCCCCGCAAACGTCTCCCCCCGAAACGTCGCCCGCTCGCGCGCACCTTCTCCGAGGACCCGCGCCCCCCGCAAACGTCTCCCCCCCGAAACGTCGCCCGCTCGCGCGCACCTTCTCCGGACCCCCGCGCCCCCCGCAAACGTCTCCCCCCGAAACGTCGCCCGCTCGCGCGCACCTTCTCCGGACCCCCGCGCCCCCCGCAAACGTCTCCCCCCGAAACGTCTCCCGCTCGCGCGCATCTTCTCCGGACACGCGCGAGCCCCGCAAACGTCTCCCCCCGAAACGTCGCCCGCTCGCGCGCACCTTTCTCGGACACGCGCGAGCCCCGCAAACGTCTCCCCCCGAAACGTCTCCCGCTCGCGCGCATCTTCTCCGGACCCCCACGCCCCCCGCAAACGTCTCCCCCCGAAACGTCACCCGCTCGCGCGCACCTTTTCCGGACCCCCGCGCCCCCCGCAAACGTCTCCCCCCGAAACGTCGCCCGCTCGCGCGCACCTTTTCCGGACCCCCGCGCCCCCCGCAAACGTCTCCCCCCGAAACGTCGCCCGCTCGCGCGCACCTTTTCCGGACCCCCGCGAGCCCCGCAAACGTCTCCCCCCGAAACGTCGCCCGCTCGCGCGCACCTTTTCCGGACCCCCGCGCCCCCCGCAAACGTCTCCCCCCGAAACGTCGCCCGCTCGCGCGCACCTTTTCCGGACCCCCGCGAGCCCCGCAAACGTCTCCCCCCGAAACGTCGCCCGCTTGCGCGCACCTTTTCCGGACCCGCGCGAGCCCCGCAAACGTCTCCCCCCGAAACGTCGCCCGCTCGCGCGCACCTTCTCCGGACCCGCGCGAGCCCCGCAAACGTCTCCCCCCGAAACGTCGCCCGCTCGCGCGCACCTTCTACAACGTCGCCCGCTCGCGCGCACCTTCTACAGGGACCCGCGCCCCCCGCAAACGTCTCCCCCCGAAACGTCGCCCGCTCGCGCGCACCTTCTCCGAGGACCCGCGCCCCCCGCAAACGTCTCCCCCCCGAAACGTCGCCCGCTCGCGCGCACCTTCTCCGGACCCCCGCGCCCCCCGCAAACGTCTCCCCCCGAAACGTCGCCCGCTCGCGCGCACCTTCTCCGGACCCCCGCGCCCCCCGCAAACGTCTCCCCCCGAAACGTCTCCCGCTCGCGCGCATCTTCTCCGGACACGCGCGAGCCCCGCAAACGTCTCCCCCCGAAACGTCGCCCGCTCGCGCGCACCTTTCTCGGACACGCGCGAGCCCCGCAAACGTCTCCCCCCGAAACGTCTCCCGCTCGCGCGCATCTTCTCCGGACCCCCGCGCCCCCCGCAAACGTCTCCCCCCGAAACGTCACCCGCTCGCGCGCACCTTTTCCGGACCCCCGCGCCCCCCGCAAACGTCTCCCCCCGAAACGTCGCCCGCTCGCGCGCACCTTTTCCGGACCCCCGCGCCCCCCGCAAACGTCTCCCCCCGAAACGTCGCCCGCTCGCGCGCACCTTTTCCGGACCCCCGCGAGCCCCGCAAACGTCTCCCCCCGAAACGTCGCCCGCTTGCGCGCACCTTTTCCGGACCCCCGCGAGCCCCGCAAACGTCTCCCCCTGAAACGTCGCCCGCTCGCGCGCACCTTCTCCGGACCCGCGCGAGCCCCGCAAACGTCTCCCCCCGAAACGTCGCCCGCTCGCGCGCACCTTCTCCGGACCCGCGCGAGCCCCGCAAACGTCTCCCCCCGAAACGTCGCCCGCTCGCGCGCACCTTCTCCGGACCCGCGCGAGCCCCGCAAACGTGTCCCCCCGAAACGTCGCCCGCTCGCGCGCACCTTCTTCGGACCCGCGCGAGCCCCGCAAACGTCTCCCCCCGAAACGTCGCCCGCTCGCGCGCACCTTCTTCGGACCCGCGCGAGCCCCGCAAACGTCTCCCCCTGAAACGTCGCCCGCTCGCGCGCACCTTCTTCGGACCCGCACGAGCCCCGCAAACGTCTCCCCCGAAACGTCGTCCGCTCGCGCGCACCTTCTCCGGGGGCCCGCGTCCCCCGCAAACGTCTCCCCCCGAAACGTCGCCCGCTCGCGCGCACCTTCTCCGGGGACCCGCGCCCCCCGCAAACGTCTCCCCCAGAAACGTCGCCCGCTCGCGCGCACCTTCTCCGGGGACCCGCGCCCCCCGCAAACGTCTCCCCCCGAAACGTCGCCCGCTCGCGCGCACCTTCTCCGGACCCGCGCGAGCCCCGCAAACGTCTCCCCCCGAAACGTCGCCCGCTCGCGCGCACCTTCTCCGGACCCGCGCGAGCCCCGCAAACGTCTCCCCCCGAAACGTCGCCCGCTCGCGCGCACCTTCTCCGGACCCGCGCGAGCCCCGCAAACGTCTCCCCCCGAAACGTCGCCCGCTCGCGCGCACCTTCTCCGGACCCGCGCGAGCCCCGCAAACGTCTCCCCCCGAAACGTCGCCCGCTCGCGCGCACCTTCTTTGGACCCGCGCGAGCCCCGCAAACGTCTCCCCCTGAAACGTCGCCCGCTCGCGCGCACCTTCTCCGGACCCGCGCGAGCCCCGCAAACGTCTCTCCCCGAAACATCGCCCGCTCGCGCGCACCTTCTTCGGACCCGCGCGAGCCCCGCAAACGTCTCCCCCCGAAACGTCGTCCGCTCGCGCGCACCTTCTCCCGGGGCCCGCGCCCCCCACAAACGTCTCCCCCCGAAACGTCGCCCGCTCGCGCGCACCTTCTTCGGACCCCCGCGCCCCCCGCAAACGTCTCCCCCCGAAACGTCTCCCGCTCGCGCGCACCTTCTCTGGACCCGCGCGAGCCCCGCAAACGTCTCTTCCCGAAACATCGCCCGCTCGCGCGCACCTTCTCCGGGGACCCGCGCCCCCCGCAAACGTCTCCCCCCGTGCGCACATGTGCGGATCCTTGCGCGTTTTGAGGCTGGAAGCGCTCGCTCCGAGCATTTTTCCTCTACCGTGTCACATGGCTGCGCTTGTCTGGGCCTTTTACCAAGCCAGCAAGGGCGTGGGAGGGTTGCGAGCATCATTGGTCATCGGCGCTCGCGAATGAAGAGCGCCCGCTGCACTTCCTCCGCATGTGCGGATCCTTCCGGATTTTGAGGCTGGAGGCGCTCGTTCCGAGCGTTTTTCTTCTACCAGGTCACGTGGCTGTGCTTGTCTGGGCCTATAACCAAGCCAGCAAGGGCGTGGGAGGGTTGCGAGCATCATTGGTCATCGGCGCTTGCGAATGAAGAACGCCCGCTGCACTTCCTGCACATGTGCGGATCCTTGCGCGTTTTATGGCTAGAATCGATCGTTCCGAGCGTTTTTCTTCCATTGGGTCACGTGGCTGCGCTTGTCTGAGCCTATTACCAAGCCAGCAAGGGGGTGGGAGGGTTGCGAGCATCATTGGTCATCGGCGCTCGCGAATGAAGAGCGCCCGCTGCACTTCCTGCACATGTGCGGATCCTTGCGCGTTTTGAGGCTAGAAGCAATCGTTCCGAGAGTTTTTCTTCCACTGGGTCATGCGGCTGCGCTTGTCTGAGCCTATTCCCAAGCCAGCAAGGGCGTGGGAGTGTTGCGAGCATCATTGGTCATCGGCGCTCGCGAATGAAGAGCGCCCGCTGAACTTCCTCCACATGTGCGGATCCTTGCACGTTTTGAGGTTGGAAGCGATCGTTCCGAGCGTTTTTCTTCCACCGGGTCACGTGGCTGCGCTTGTCTGGGCCTATTGCCAAGCCAGCAACGGCATGGTAGCGTTGCGAGCATCATTGGTCATCGGCGCTCGCGAATGAAGAGCGCCCGGTGCACTTCCTCCACATGTGCGGATCCTTGCGCGTTTTGAGGCTGGAAGCGCTCGTTCCGAGCGTTTTTCCTCTACCAGGTCACGTGGCTGCATTTGTCTGGGCCTATTACCAGGCCAGCAAGGGCGTGGGAGGGTTGCGGGCATCATTGGTCATCGGCGCTCGCGAATGAAGAGCGCCCGCTGCACTTCCTCCACATGTGCGGATCCTTGCGCGTTTTGAGGCTGGAAGCGCTCGTTCCGAGCACTTTTCTTCTACCCGGTCACGTGGCTGCGCTAATCTGGGCCTATAACCAAGCCATTAAGGGCGTGGGAGGTTTGCGAGCATCATTGGTCATTGGCGCTCGCGAATGAAGAGCGCCCGCTGCACTTCCTGCACATGTGCGGATCCTTGCACGTTTTTAGGCTAGAAGCGATCGTTCCGAGCGTATTTCTTCCAGCGGGTCACGTGGCTGCGCTTGTCTGAGCCTATTGCCAAGCCAGCAAGGGTGTGGGAGGGTTGCGAGCATCATTGGTCATCGGCGCTCGAGAATGAAGAGCGCCTGCTGC